TTGCGTGCTGGCCTATGAACATGTCTATGATCAACTGGCAAGAGGAAAATGCAAGGGAAAGAATAATATGTTCAGCCAGACACTAGATTTTATTTTCATAAAATAGATGGGAGAAGGTACAACAAACACAGAAAATTTCAGAACATTGGAAAATGCTAAGAGCTTTTCCCTGCAGGGGCAGCACAGGATTACCAAAAAGGAAGATTTCATTTCTTAATGTGTTTTTCAGTATTTATCTAAAAACCGTATTCAAAATGCAGCCTGAAGATGAAATACAGTTATACCAATGGTATATACATACATGTCAATGACGGCAGCTTTAGAAAATGTGCCAGCCCACAATCAAATGGATTGGTACTAAAAGCATTAAACCAAAAACAAATACCAACTGTGACACCTATAAATGACAAATCACACCTCAGTAAGGAATCTCTTTGTTCAAGGTCCAAGACAGATTATTCTTCCTGTGCTAAAGGAGGGATGACTCACCTGAGGCAGTGGCTTGCGGGGACTGCCGATGATGCCACGGATAACAAACATGTTGGGCATCACAGGTCTTGGATATTCCAAAACAAAGTCAGTTCGGAACAACTAAATGGATGTGTGGCTAAAAAGACCAGATGCTGTCACAGGTGTTTGGAGGATTTCAGAGGCAGAATCTAAGGCACTTTGCAAAAATATGGAGCAAAATAACTGTTCCAACAAGTGGAAAATGTGGTTCCATACTCTTTCCTTGAAGGTCATGACTACCGAGAACCCTGAGAAATATCTTGGAACATAAGAAACAGGACCGGGGCTCTGCATACCTTCCTCAAGATGATGGCAAAATATTCTCATGGCAAAGACCACAGAAGCAAGTAAAAAGTATTTGGCAGCAATTAAGCCACATATGTCAAATCTATAAAGGAGCAAAGCATCAAAAGAACTCTCTTATAAGGATTTGACTAATTTCCTATCGTTAAATAAGCTCCTACAATGTGAAAACAAAAGTTCAAAAATACTCTTGTGTGAACTCATTAATATAAAAAATAAAATTTGTCCTTGAGTTTTCCATTCATTGTTGACGAAAAACCATAAACGCGTTGTCCAAATCCTCCAGACTGTAAGAGTCTGAATGAGTCTTTTCTGTACAGTTCAGTCATTTTTCCCAGTTGCCAACTCACTGCTGGTGTGAATAAGAACAACTCGTGCTCTCTGTGCATGAGTTTCTCCACAATCAAACTCATGGTAAACCAGCAGCTCCCCTCCAGGGGTACCACCAGCAGCTTGCCTTCCTTGGCCAGGCCACTCGTCAGCACCAGACGTACACACACAGGAAGGGGGCTGGTCACAATTGCAGGAGCCATCGTGTAACTGCAGCACAGAGCAATCCCATTGCTTGGATCCTAAGCCCGTGTGATCCAGCAGGAGGAAGAAGTACAGGCACAACCAGCCCCACGAGAGGCCATGTATTCCCACATGAATAAAAAATTACACTCACTGCCAATGATCTACTCAGAAGAACAATAGTAATAATGATAACTGAGAAGAACTTGCTGACATACCTCCTTGTGTGGTTTCCAGACAAGAGTAGGTTGTGACCTTGCCTTGTGGAAAGATCATGCCTGTACTGCAATGTGAGATTAGAGGCACAATCATTAAGCAACACTTCTGCATTAGAGGAATCAAAGAAATGAAAAGGAAAATAAATTAAATAAGCCTTGTATTTTTGGAATTTGTCTCAGGAAATATTTCAGTTTTATCGTCAGTCTACCAAAGCCTCCTTTTCCAGAAAGGGACTGGCATTGCAGGTTACAAGCAAAGACTGCAAGGCTCTTAACTCTGACCTCTTCCCTGGCAGTGGGAATGCTGTCAACAAGGGTCTCTGCCATACCCAGGCATTGCTGCTTGTCTGTTACAATGCCAGAGGATTCTCCTATCATTTCTGAACCCTCTGAGACCTCTGAAAAGCTAAAATAAAATTAACAACCCAACTACACAGACAATTCCTGGGGTTGTTGACAAATCCTGGCTCAGCCCACCACTGCAGGTGAGGCTGAATCTTCCCTTGGGGAGGAAGTTACCCCCACTAGAGATCCACCTTGACAAGACAGTCCACCGCCAGGCAGATATGTGCATGCCAAGATGCACCCAGGGTTCACCAGCAGCACATTCTGCAGGGAGCATTTGGGTTTAACCCTTTCATGTAGCCTTCCTCCAGAATCCTAGTACTCTTACTTCCTCCCCAACAGAAGCTCTCTGCTCTTTTTCTGGCTCCTGTTTGTGTCCAGTGACATAAAGTATGTTTATACAAAGGCTCAGTTTCTGTCCTCCTACCCACTGGTCAAATCCTTTCATTTCCATCACACAGTCACGTCTACCAAGAGCCAAGTAAAATAACTCTTATCTGTATTTGGAGACCACCCATGTCCTCGATTTACTAGAGCATGTGAAAGCATAAGAGGGGCCAGAACAGGACGGCTGGGACAGCAGGACATTAAGGTTGTTGCTACTACAGCTGCTGTTGGGCTCAGTAGTGACGTAATCTGGCATTTGTGTTTCCAGCCACCACCTTATCTCGTGGTAGAAGCAGCAAGTTCCTGGATTCGGGTCCCTTCCTTGTGCACAGAACTCGGCTGCCTTTTACTGGGACAGCAGTGCCTGCCGTGGACGCAAGGGGAGGGTGGCACCAGGGCAACATTTCCAGCTCTCCTAATTGTGCGGATCTGCCTGTCCATAGCCAAACCTCACTGGGTGTCACATGCCAAGCAGGAAGACTCAGCATCCTCGGGGGACCGAAAGGCACTGGGCTTTGCCATGTTCCAGTTAGAGGCAACAATCTAGACTAGAACAGGGGAAGAGGCACACAAGAAAGATTTAATTTTATAACATCTTGATTTTTCCCAATGTAAGCTACAGATTTGACGTAAGGCCAAACTAAATCTCATTGACCGAAAACAATCTTAAAAGTCACCTACAAACACGTTAGCTCTGGTCATAGAGAAGTCGCTGTCACACCAGTGCTCCCACAGATAGCACTGACAACCTCTGCAAAATGTTCGCCCAATGCACAGGGCAGCGTCTCCAGACACTGGAGAGCCTGTGGGAGGAGGAATGAAGGGAGCGTGGCAGCCGTGCATGAGTCGCCCACCAGTGTGGCTTTTTGCAGGAGGGCGGGCAGAGGGCGTGCACACCGAGCCCCCAACCCTCACTCTCACATGCCGTGCAGCCCTACCACCTGCACGAAGCATGGAGTGGCAGGAAGCACCTGGGGAATGGACCTGCATGGGCTGGACAGCGACAGCAAGTGTGCAGCCATGCCAGGGGGTGGAGAAAAAGAGGAGCACACACGTGGCCCAGGGCTCCAGGACAAAGCACTAGGACTGCGCAGCTGGGAACACACATTTCTTCTCCCACTGCTCTGGGGCTGGGCTGGGATCCGAATCAAAGTGTTGGCGTGGTGGTCCTCCCTCTGCAGGCTCTAGGGGCTGTCCTACCCTGCCCCCTCCAGCTTCCTGCGTCTGCTGGCATCCCTCACAGATCCCTGGCTGATGGCTGCGTCACTCCAGTCCCCGAGTGTCTTCACGTGGTCACCCCTCTATACATATCTGGCTCTGTGTCCAAATTTCTTTTTTATAGAAGGACACTAGAAGCACTGGATTAGGGCCTGCCCTAATGACCACATTTTAACTTCACTCCCCTTTAAAGACCTTGTCTCCAAATTGGTCACATTCTCAGGCACTTGGGTTTAGGATTTCAACACTATTGGGGATAGGGGTCACTATTTAACCCCCAAACAAAGGACTGGCCACGCTGGCCTTGTGCACTNGGACCTGGGAAGGATCCCTGGGGCCAGTGAGGGAGGTTTCCTAGACCTAGCTCAGGCTGGGCACAGAGGATGTGCTCATTTCCAGAGCCACAGATGTGGCGGTGACAGGGCTCCAAAGTGTGCACGGCTCTAACAGGGTGAGGAGCACGGGAAGCCCCTGAAGAGGTCACCGAGGGCCGGCCCAGGTATTCCACCAGGACAACACCAAACTGCAAGGCTGGGTCTGTGAAAGAGNAAACCAGTGGCTCCCATCCATGGGCATCACCAGCAGCTTGCCTGCCTCGGCCAGGGTACCTGTCAGCAGCAGACACACACAAAGAGGAACGGGGCCGGTCACAATTGCAGGAGCCATCACGTACCTGCGGCCCAGAGCAATCGCACTGCTTGGATCCTAAGCCCGTGTGACCCAGCAGGAGGAAGAAGTACAGGCACAAAACCTGCCCAATAAAAGGGCGTGTATTCCCACATTCATAAAAAATATCGCTCACTGCCAGTGATTTACCCAGAAGAACAATAATGAATGAGCAGCATTTGTTGGCATACATACTTGTGCAGTTTCCAGACAAGAGTAGACTGTGACCTTTCCTTGTGGAGAAATCATGCCTGTGCTGCAATGTGAGCTTACAGGCAGATTACTAAGCAATGCTTTTGGATTTGAGGACTCAGACAAATAAAAAGGAAANTATGTGCATACCATTTATCCCAGCAACCCTATTCCAAGGACTCTGGCCATTGAGATAAGAGCAAGAATAGGGAAATATATGAAAGTGAAGAAGTAACTACGAATGTAAGTACACTCCTGTCATAAAAGCAAAAAAGGGAAAAAGCCTGTTTCAATACTTGTTGGTTGAAAAAACAACAGTGCATTCAGAATAAGACTTCTATGCACTTGTTGAGAGAGCAAGTCACATCTGTTGCGTGCTGGCCTATGAACATGTCTATGATCAACTGGCAAGAGGAAAATGCAAGAGAAAGAACAATATGTCCAGCCAGACCCTAGATTTTATTTTCATAAAATATGTGGGAGAAAGTACAACAGACACAGAAAATTTCAGAACATTGGAAAATGCTAAGAGCTTTTCCCTGCAGGGGTAGCACAGGATTACCAAAAAGGAAGATTTCATTTCTTAATGTGTTTTTCAATATTTTTCCAAAAACAGTATTCAAAATGCAGCCTGAAGATGAAATAGACTTATATCAATGGCATACACATACATGTCAATGAGGACAGCTTTAGAAAATGTGCCAGCCCACTGTCAAATGGATTGGCACTAAATAATTCATTAAACCAAAAAGAAATACCAACTGTGACACCTATAAATGACAAATCACACCCCAGTAAGGAATCTCTTTATTCAACGGCCGACCCATATTATTCTTCGTGTGCTAAAGGAGGGATAACTCACCTGAGGCAGTGGCTTGCAAGGACTGCAGTTGATGCCACCAACAAAAACAATGTTGGGCATGACAGGTCTGGGATATTCCAAAATAAAGTCAGTTCGTAACAACCAAATGGATGTGTGGCTGAAGAGATCAGATGCTGTCACAGGTGTCTGGAGAATTTCAGAGGCAATGTCTGAGGCACTTTTGAAAAGAATGGGGCAAAATAATTGTTCCTCCAAGTGGAAAATGTAGTTCCGTACTCTCTCCTTGAAGGTCATGACATCTGAGAACCCTGAGAAAAATCTGGGAACGTAAGAAACAGGACTGGGGCTCTGTGCACCTTCTTCAAGAAAATGGCAATGTAGTACCCTGGTGAAGACCACAGATGGGAGTGAAAAATATTTGGCAACAATCAAGCCACACATGTCAAATGGATCCAGGAAAACTGCATCAAAAGAACTCTCTTTCAAGTATTCTATTAATTTCCTGTCATTAAACAAACTCCTACAATGTGAAAATAACAATTCAAAAAAACTCCTGACTGAACTCATGAGCACAGAAAATATACTTTGTGCTGGAGTTTTCCAATGATCATTGGCAAAAGCCATGAACCTGTGATCCAAATCCTCCAGAGTGTAAGAAGTTGAATAAGTCTTTACTGTCCAATTCGACAATTTTCCCAGGTGCCAACTCACCCCTGGCATGACTATGACCACCTCATGGCCTCTATCCATGAGTTTCTCCACAACCGAACGCATAGAAAACCAGTGGCTCCCATCCATGGGCATCACCAGCAGCTTGCCTGCCTCGGCCAGGGTACCT